CGGAGTCTGCAGAAGCCACAGCGTCCTGGACAACGCTCCGGGTATGGAAGCCACGCGCCAATTCAGCCACCATGTCGCCGGCTCCCTCAGCCTGGTAGTCAACGAGGACCAGGAAGAAATACACGGTTAGTGCCCAGACCGTGGGACCTGTGCTTTAGCGACGTCCAGGAAACGAGTGTTCCCTGGGAGAGGTGACTGGACGGGGTGCTGTCCCCAGGCCACCACCTCTCAGGTCGCCCCCACCCTTTCCCACTCACCGTGGGCTCCCTCACGCTGGTCTTTCTCTTTGGGTTTCCTCCTTTCCAGATGCGCAGGCTGTGGAGCCCCAGCTGGACACAGAGGGAGGAGATGAGTTCGAGCCTGAGCTGGGGGCCGCGGTCGAAGAAACAGCAGTAGGGGCCGAAGAGACAGAAGAAAATTGTGGTGGCATTTCCAGAGAATTTCCTGGCCCCATCGATGATGAAAACCATGAGGCCAGCAACGACAGTGGTGAGGAACCTGGGCGGGAGAAGCCAGAGCTAGAGGAGCCTGAGTTAGGGAAGCTGGAGCAGGAGAATCCTGGGCAGGAGGAGCCACAGCTTCAGAAGGAGCTGGAGGTGGAGCAGCCAGTGCAGAAGGAGCTGGAGCAGAAGGGGCCACAGCAGGAGGAGCAACAGCGGGACGAGCCACTGCAGGTCGAGCCAAAGCGGGTCGAGCCACAGCGGGTCGAGCCACAGCGGACCGAGCCACAGCAGGAGGAGCCACAGCAGGACGAGCCACAGCGGGTCAAGCCACAGCAGGACGAGTCACAGCAGGACGAGCCACAGCAGGAGGAGCCACAGCTGGACGAGCCACAGCAGGAGCCACAGCGGGAGGAGACACAGCAGGAAGAGTCACAGCAGGAGGAGCTGGCCGTAGAAGCTGCCCTCGTGCCACAGTCTAGGAGCAGTCAGCAGCGCTTCCAATGCACCAGGTTAACTCCATTGCAGGTACAAGAGCTGGAGAGAGTTTTTCAAGGCGATCATTACCCCAGCAGAAAAACGAGGTGAGTGGATTGCTCAGATTGTTGCCCATTTTTGCCGGGAGCACGTGGCTGTCCCAGCAGCCTTTGGCTCTTTCCTCCCCACCCCAGAGCCCAAAACTGCTTTAGCCCGGAGCACCGCTCCCCACCCGTCCCTCTCCTCATGCCCTCTGCTCTTGGGTTCTGGGATGGGGCTCTGCCAACTGGACGTCAAGGTAAATATTTTCATGCTGGATTTATAATAAGTGAATCAAAGTGGGAGACTTTCGCCAGTGCCTGTTTTTATAAGTAACATCCTATTAGAATTATGGTATGGATAAAGGTGAGGACTCTGAGGCATGCCTGAGCAAGTGCAGGGATGGATCCTGTGTTTTCTGCCTTAAAATAATTGTATTCATTATAGGGAGTGCATGCATGTATGAGAGAAGAGTGAGAGGGAGAGTGAGAGCGAGAGCGAGTGAGAGAGAGAGAGATACTGTTGATGGGGTCTTATCAAGTTGCAGTTCCCTTTCTTGGGCCCTCCAGCTCATCAGGATCTTGGGCACATGGCACACATGCTCTGAATGTTTACAAGCCAACTCAGAGATTTGAATTGTCCATTAGCCATGTGGCTTCCAGAGGTTGGCTTTGTTCCAGATTGTGCTATTAGGTTGGGCCTCCTGCTTTTATTTAAAATTTTGATAAATCTCTTCATGATGTATTACTTTGCATTCATTTCTATAGTTTTAAATACTACACTAGAAAATTATCTTTTTTTTCTTTTTTTTTGGAGAGGTTTTTGCTATAGGGCACGTGTGCTCACCAGAAAGACAAGAGAGAGATAGAGAGAGAGAAAGCGAGAAATCACCCCCCACAGGGGATGGCCACGCCGCAATCCCTTCTCCTCCGTTCTCCTCTCGGGATCTTGGCCACGCACGCACATGCGCCCAGCGTGAGTTTTAAGCCACCAGGTCTGGGACTCGAACTGTGGTCAACTACGTGGGAGTCCAGCGACATAGCCATTACGCTAACTGCTGGTCCCTACAAAATTATCTTGAGTATTGATTTTTGTTGGTGTTCCCCCTCATTTTGCACCTGAGAGAAAATGCTCCTTAAAGCACACCTCAGCTGTATATTACAGAACAGAGGAATAGGTGGAGGGTATGTGGTGAGATAAAAATTTGAAAATGAGAGTGAAATTCTATATTTCATGCCACCCACAACACCAAATACTGAATATTTATGTTCTCTCCTCAGAAAGCAGCTTGCAAGACGCTTGGGTGTGACTAAGGCCAGAGTGCAGGTCAGTAAACCTGAAAAAGTCATTAGGTGGGCAGCCATTCCAAACTGCTCAAGAACTGGGACTCCTTCATCCTAGATATTATGGTGGTGCTGTGGTTTTGTTGCCTGTTCCATGTTTGGGAAATGAGTGTTGAACGTTGAGGTCTTTTTTTTTTAAAAAAATGTATTTATTTACATTTAATCACGTCCTTATAGTGTACAACATTTCTTTTTCCAGCACAAACACTATGCATGTCAGTCAAGCCAAAGATATTACTCTAACTTTTATCAGCAAAAAGCTTCTCATTTTTTTTGTCAATTAAGCATACTTTCACTTGGTTTTTTCCTTCCCCTTTCCCTTCTCTCCCTTCCATATACTAAACATTTTTTCCACATTTTATTGATCCACAAAGTACTTTAAACTAAAAATATGGACA